TAAGGAGTAGATATTTTTGTATTCATTTGACCTTATAATGAAATACCTTTTATGTAAAATCAACAAATATTGATCTCATTAATCTAACAAAATAATGTTACAGGTTACTGATGCACCACATCAGAGACTGTCTTCCTGAGCTGAAGACGAGGATCAATGTGCTGGCAGCCCAGTACCAGTCTTTACTCAACAGCTACGGTGAACCCGTCGATGACGAGAGCTCCATGTTGCTGCAGCTCATCACCAAGTTCGCTGCAGAGTACTGTCACACCATAGAGGGCACAGCCAAGTACATTGAGACAGCTGAACTGTGAGTACTGAACTGCAGATACCTAGAACTACTAGGAATTGCTCGCTCCTGACTGATCAAAATTTGCTTGTATGTTTATAGCATTTCACTCTTTATTTCAGATGTGGTGGAGCCAGAATCTGTTACATATTTCATGAGACGTTTGGTCGCACGTTGGAGTCAGTAGACCCTCTGGGCGGGCTGACCACCATCGACGTACTCACAGCAATCAGAAATGCTACAGTGGGTTTTTGCTTCCTCTCCAGCTCATAATTTCTATTTTAAATAGCACCTTTTTTCAGACTCTTGGTTCATTGTGCTTCTGCAGGGCCCGAGGCCTGCTTTATTTGTGCCTGAGGTCTCATTTGAGCTGCTGGTGAAGCGGCAGGTCAAGCGTCTGGAGGAGCCCAGTCTTCGCTGCGTGGAGCTGGTTCACGAGGAGATGCAGAGGATCATCCAACACTGCAGCAACTACAGCACTCAGGTGAGCTCACATGTACTTTACATTACTACATTACTAATACATTTTAGTTTTCAAACAACCTGTATCAGTCCATACTCACACACCTGAAAACATATCACGTGACCTTTTACATACCCTGGGCAACTCTGCTATTGGTTGCTTAGTTATAGGAAATCTTCGGAATGAGGAATAGCAATGGTAAAAAGATGAGAGATTTCTTTTCTTGGACTGATGATGAGCTGGAACGTTTACTGACATCAAATGACAACAAAGTTTTGCATTCACCACTTGTCATGACTGAACAGAGACAATCAGGGTCTCCATTTTTACCCGTCCACAGTGAAATGCAGCCCCAGAGTTTTCAAACAAAGTTCACAGTTTTAGGCACTTGAAAACTCCAGAGCCGTGTGGACAGCAGGTGTAAACAGAGGCATAAAGCAGAGTGGATGTAGCCTACAGCACAGTTGTTTGGTGTAAATACACAAAACTGCAGCCTCTCATTAAAACTCTGGTGTTTGTGTTTTTCTTTGCAGGAGTTGCTGAGGTTTCCAAAGCTCCACGATGCCATAGTAGAAGTGGTCACCGCATTACTTAGGAAGAGACTCCCTGTCACCAATGAAATGGTCAGGACCTGCTCACCATAAACCCCACTGAGCAGATTAAAAGAAGTTCATTCACAACCTATATCTGTTTTTTAATCAATGTTCTAAATGTCTTTTCAGGTTCATAACCTTGTTGCCATCGAGCTGGCCTATATCAACACTAAACACCCTGACTTCGCTGACGCCTGTGGCCTCATGAACAATAACATAGAAGTAAGAATTGAGCTTCTATAGATTGTAATGTGTTTTGTCAAATAGAATCTCAGGTTGATCATGTTAACTGGGAATGATCTTTCTCTGCATTGAGCCTGTTGTACATTTCAGCAGCAGCACAGAACAAGAGTCAGAAGTTAAATAAACAACTAATGGAAATTAAATATTTGCTGTTATTAGCTCTTACAGAATGTAAGAACATTCTTAATGATTTTCTTTCTTGTTTTTTTTATAGGAGCAGAGACGCAACAGGATGAGAGACCTGCCCACTGCTGTCCCCAGAGACAAGGTACAGTCCGTCTCTGTGAGACTTGTGTCACTGTTTTCTTGTCACAGGCTTTTATAGATTTTCTGCACATACACATCAATTCCACTCTGAAGAATGAACCAACAGTTTTCATCTCATTATGTTAAGTTTCTTCTACTTGTAGCTCCTGTCAGTTTTCTGTCCACTCTTTTCTGATGTCTTTCTTTAGTCCCTTAAAGGCCCAGGTGGGCAATCACCCTCCCCCACTGAGTTCTTCTCTGAGGGCCAGGTCCCCAAGGTGTGTCTCGCTCACCCACTATCTGCCCACATTTAACCTCTGCCCACCTCCAGGCCCTTACTGCTCTTCTTGATTCAGACATTTCTTATGAGAGTCCTTTTAAATTCAACCAAACCCCTGTTCCAGAACTATTTGGTGTTTAATGTCCTGGCAGTACACTGAGGTCTGAGGGGCAGTTTCTACCTTAATGGATCTAACCTTGGATTTTCTCATTTAACCTCCTTTATCCTGCATGGTGACTCTAACAGAAGGAATGTGATGAACCCAGACACAATTAGCATGAAGTGCTTTATTTAAAAATGAAGAAAATGTTTTCTTCATTTTGTATTTATGTGTGATACAGAAAACATTTTTTAAATAAAATAATTTCATTTTATAATATTATTAAACTTTTTAAAAATAAGATAAAAAGGCTAACGGCATGCTTATGTTCAAACGTTTTTTTTGGAAAGTGAACATGCACTTACTCATATTTTTGCACAGTTTTCTAAACTTGTTAATGTAACCTTGTTTCCTGACTTCCTCTTCACATGATATGTTTCCAGTTCTGATTAAATCCCTGAGCAGGAGACATCTTCACTTATAATGTGTCTCCTCCCGGTAGGGCGGCTCTCAGAGTGCTAGTGCCAGCGAGCAGACAGACAGCGGGATGGGAAACTGGAGGGGCATGTTGAAGAAGGGAGAGGAGTTTACAGCTAGTGATAGAGCAGCAGCCCAATATCCACCTCCTGGAATGCCACAGAAAGGCCACGCTGTCAACCTCCTAGATGTGGTGGGTCACACACACTCATAATAGCCGACAGTTTACCAGTTTACCTTTTTTGCAAGTATTTTACATTTTTTATCCTATTACAAATATAAGAAATATAGTGAAAGGCTTTAGAAAATTTGATTTAAGAAGTTCTTGCCGGATAGCAATAACAACAGTGTGTGAAAATCGATTTCATCCTAAAACTGAATATAACATAATTTCCAGTGATTCCCTGAACAAACCAGACCAGGTGCATTGTCTTACTTGAACTGTTAAAGGAAACAAAGGTAACTGACAGCCACATACATGAGATGTTACCTGTTGATTTTTTTTAGCCCTCAGCATTAGTGAGACATGGTACCGACACTTTCAGTCTTGTTTTGACTGTTGTTTATGAATACATTTCCCCGATCACATCCCACTTAATGCACTAACAAGGGGATTGGTTGCCTTTTCATTTTCAGCCTGTTCCGGTGTCCAGGAAGTTGTCGTCTCGAGAGCAGAGGGACTGTGAGGTTATCGAGAGACTTATCAAGTCATATTTTCTCATTGTACGGAAGAACATCCAGGACAGGTACATGTTTAACTGTCCCTGCGTGTTTATTTTTTCGCCCAATTGATGCTGTTTTTGAAATGTACACACGATTCGTCCCTTCTCATGTGTTCCACTGTCTCCTCCTCTGCTGTCATCGTTTGGCCTCAGCGTACCGAAGGCAGTGATGCACTTCCTGGTGAACCACGTGAAAGACTCCCTGCAGAGTGAACTGGTGGGTCAGTTATACAAGACGACTCTGCTGGTCGACCTGCTGACAGAGTCCGAGGACATGGCACAGAGACGCAACGAGGCGGCCGACATGCTCAAGGTAACACATTTGTCAGTTGTCAGTGTGGAAAGCTACGAGGATATCCAGAATCATTTTCACACACAAAAGCTCTTGTCACTATTTTTGTGACAGAATGTGTCTGTTTTAATAGATTTTTTAAACAATTCAAATTAAAGTTACGAGAATTTATTCTTAAACCTTTAAGGAAAGGTTCACCATTTTTCAACTGTCCTAAAACAATATTCAGGTTCTCATTTAAAGTGGTTTTGTTTGCGTCATGTCCTGGGAGAACTTGTTTGCTTGAACAGTTGTACATGGAGAGACAAGGAAGTCATTCAATTTGCTAATTCTCCATAAAAAACACCACAAAACCAGGAGAAGTCTTGTCGAATGGGTGATTGCAAAATCCACATTTTTACAAAAAGTGTCTACTTGTTGTTTCTCTTCTTCTAGAGAGTAGAATGGAAGGAGAGTGCTGCCTGAAATAGACGTCCGATGACAGGCTTAGTCCCTCGGCCTACATCACCAATGTTTAATTCTGTTTCCTCCTTTTTTCTGTGGCTGTGTGCAGGCGTTGCAGAAAGCCAGCCAGGTCATAGCAGAGATCCGAGAAACCCACATGTGGTGAGGACGGCCTCTCTTCATAAGCTCCCTCGCTTCATCTCACACAGACCCTCGTCCCTCCCAGACCACCCGCCCCTCCAGAACCCCTAGAATCTCCCATCACTTGAGGCTGCAGAGATGAACAACCTGGAAATGCACTGGTGTGGATATGTGTATATCTAAACATAGTTTTAATGTACAGTAAGGACTTGGAATTTAAAGAACAGCGGCACTTAACACCATCACTTGCTCCTGTCCCAGAGTTTTATATTTTTCTTATGTAATTAAAACCATGAATATAAAGAGAATGTTGTGCATCACCACTATGTGGAGCCTCGCGGAGGAACGACTGCTCTGAACGTAGATTTGAATTAAAGCTAGAAAAGATCATACATGCTGCAGACGATCTTTATCATGTTACTTCTTTCATTAAAATGTGCCCACTGCTATTATCTCCAAAGAAATGCACTTATTTGAAATATTCTCACTGTAAAAACACTTTTTCTACAGTCTTGTTTCCTGGTAATAACAATATTATTTTTATCCAGCCATGGAGCAGTCCTTCTTTAGAACCATATGAGTCCCTGTGTTTCCATCTATTTCATTTCTTGAGGTTTCAGTGAGGTGTTGCTGAATGGTTCTAGCATTATTGAGTTTTCCTTCCAAACTTATCTCCAACACAATTTCACAGAAACAAACAATCTGCATCATAGTGGACGTAATGACTTATTTATTGTTTGATTTCATGATTAGTGACACGTAATCCAACACAACAGAACAATGAATACACATCAGACACATGTGTCGACCGCCTTGTGTCCCGGTCCGCCCCGTCCTCGTCCTGGTGCTGCTTTACCTCAGCCGACCGCCCATCTTACCCTTGCCGCGACCTTTGGCACTGAAATGGTACAGCAGAAAGTGAGTAGAGAAAAGCAAGTGAAACCAAGTAGCTGATGAACAGGATGTGCTTTGGCTTAAAATTGTGAAGTAGTAGTGAAGAAAGTTCTCCAGTTATGGTCAAATAGAAAATACAAAAATACTTAAAGTGTGCTCAAATAAAGGACTGTAATCTGTGACCAATTTCATGACTGAAACCATAACGAAATGTTAAAAAAAAAAGGTTGATGTAGAAATATGTATTCATTGATTTAAATATTTATTCTCCACAAACAAGAAGAGATTGATAAAGACAAGAAGGAAATCAAAACAGACAAGTCTGTATCTGTCGTCTGAATGTCAGTTCACTGTATTGAGGGGTTTCTGTACTTACTTCTGATGATCCTGGACTCGAGCAAGAAGCTGGTTAATCTGGAAGGACACACACACATCTTGTTGAGCAATGACGAAAAATACATACGACTCCTGACCTGTCCTGCACAGGCTGCTAACGTTATTCTGGAAACTAGAATAAACCCAATGTAGGCTGTAACTTAGAGGACCAGCTCTCATTTATAGTTCTGACTTAAATCTGAAAACTACATCACAAATAAGACAGAGGAGCAATAATCCCTTACACATTAAAAATGGAAAGGGCTCTTTCAGCCTCTGTGTTTGATTTCTATCATAATCAATGATGAAGACCTTGTTTTGACTTTAGTGACTTCATTATATAGACTGTATTGTAAAGGAGAAGTTCCTGCTGCGTGTGAATGACTCACATCATATTTCTGTCTTTTGAGTTTCTCACTGAGGTCAAACTTCTCAGCCTCCAGACCTATCAGCCACTGCCACAGCTCATTGGCCTTCTCCCTGATGATGAAATGGAGAATTTCATTTAATCCAATGTTTTGGGTTCATCTGTAATTTAGCTTTATCTCAAACGTACGTGCAGAGGTCTGTCTTACTTGAGTTTATCTTCGTTCAGATGATCAATGTTGAGACCCTTCCTGCGTTCAGCCAGGATCTTCTTCTTCTTCTCCCTCTCAGTTTGCTTCTTGCCTCCTCTTCTGTTGTCACTCTGTTTTTAGTCAAATGGAAAAATGATACAAAAATCAATCTGAATGAAACAACAATATGTTCTGTTTTTAATCATCTTTTGCCTATTCAGGATTGATGAGTGAAAACTGTGGAAACAGAATGAAAACTGGTGCAACCCAGGGCCGGAGCTAGGGTGTGACTCCTGGTGCCTGAGGCTCCGAATGTTCTCTCAATAGCCTCGCATCTATTCTTACAGTGCAATAGAATAATAATAATAGTGTAACCCAGGATATTTTCAGTAATTAACCCAGTTTCGGCTGTTCCATACATGCATCGCCTTACGCTATTGGTAGTTACGTAGCTTCCCAACGTCCCTTAAACGCATCACCTGCAAACTATTGACAGGTGCTGCTCAACGGTAACACACTTCTTTTTATTTTACCATGTTGGTAAAGGAAGTATTCAGATCTTTTAATGAATAACTATTTTACCAGCTATTGTATGTGACACAATTATCTTCCCTGTAACTGTTATATTAGAACACAATATATCATAGTTATTACTGTATAATTACCTACACCAAGGAGGTTATTGTTTTCATTCTGTCAGTCAGTCAGTCAGTCAGTCAGTCAGTCTGTCTGTCTGTCTGTCAGTTGTCAGATTTGCTTAAAAACTACTGGTCAGATTACCGCAAAACCTTTTATCATTTCTTTAACATTTTGCTATGTTTGATCCCTCAGCGTATATTAAAAATAATAAAAAATAATCAGGTATATTTATTGGACTGATATTTATGTGAGTGTGCAATGTGGTGCAGCTTGATTGAATTTAAGGGGGTTGTGAAGATGTGAGCCTCATTTAAATGTTTTAGTTGGGTAAGATCTGTTGGGTAATTGAAAATGCAAAATAAAGAAAGTTGTTAATAAAATCTGGAGGAGTAAAAAGTCCAACGTTTGCCTCTCAAATGTAATAAAGTAGCACTGGATGGAAACACTCAAGTTCGTAGACATCACATCGCTCCTCCTCTGCACCCAGGAAGGAATCTTTCATTAATGATTAATTAATCAATCAATCATTATTGAGGCTGTGTAATAAAACATTTTGTACTTATTCATACTTTTGTACTATTGACACGTGTGCAGCCTTTGTCCAAAGTAATGAATTGAGTCAAGCCACAGCACCAGTACTTGAGTTGGATTATTATGTTTCACATTTGAATACTAGAGGCCATGAAGAGCTGAATGACCTTTTGTCCAGCACTGTACTGCTGGGTCATGTTAGAGAGAGCCTTCTTCTTCTTGGCGTCGTCACCCAGCTTCTTACGCTGCTCCTCCATCTCCTTACGTTCCTTCTCCTCCTGTGAACCAGCACAGAGGAAAGTGAGGATTGCATCATGTGTGGTTGGATCATCTGGAATGTGAGATCATGAATGAATGGATCTGAGATCTTACCGCAACTCTGGCCTGCCTCTCCTTCTCTCTCTCGGCCCTGACCCTCTGCTGCTCTGCTCTCTCTGCACGACGCTTATCCTACAACACACACACACACACACACACTGTCAGTGTCCAAAGAGTCACAGTGATTTGGACCAAACAGGTGACACACTCACGATTCTGTTCACGAGGGCGATGAGCTCCTCTTCCTCTTTCTTCCTCTGGATGAAGTGAGCCTCAATAAGAGACTGCAGCTCAGACAGATCCTTCTCCTGACGCTTCCTGTGGATGTCCTGATATCAAACGCAGATCAGACACTGTCACTGTGTGTGTGTGTGTGTGTGTGTGTGTGTGTGTGTGTGTTTTGTTTGTAAGATAACGTTTCTGTCAAGAAGCAGACGTTCAATAAGATCAACTCACATCAAAGTCCACTTTATCCCCATCAGGGATCTTTGGGGCGGATATATTTGTCATAAACCTGCAGTGGTGAACAGGAGATTATTGTATTATCTGCATTAAGTGATGTTTTTATTTTCTTGACACAAGGAGAGCGTGGATTCTTACTTAGGCTTCGGCTTCGACTCATCTGGGACAAGGGAAAGAAAGTAGAAGTCATGAATAAATAGACGAGTGGAAGAAGTCATGTATAAACTTGCTTGAAAAAAGGAATAAACTGAGAAGCTTTGAAAGACATTATTCTCACCTGTTGCCTCCTCTTGTGCTGTTGATCAGAAGCATGAATAATAAGTAAAAAGTGTGGAAATTAAATGTGCAATATAAAAACAAAAGGAGCTTCAGCCTCCTTACCTTCTTCCTCCCTTCAACGGGAACAGAACAGTGGTATTGACAAAAGAGAAAAACAATTTTGATTATTAAATATGATGCATCTACACAATTAACATAAATGGACAGATCGTGCATGTGAATGTGAAAATGATTTTATATACTCCTCCCTTCAGCAGAAACAGAACAGCAGTGTTGACAAAAGAAAAAAGAAATAGTTGAAAATTACACTTTTTATCATGATTTGTTAACTAATAAATAAATCGCAGAAATGAAAGGATGAATACTGCGTGTGAGTGTAAAAATGATTTCACGTACTGCACTTCTTCCTCCAGGACTTCTTCTGTGTCAGACATCTTGTTATGGATGAGCTCAGCAAGATGGATCCGGCCTGTTAGTTATTTTTAGATTAGCCAAACAGATCTGATCATTAAACATCAGAGAGCACGACATGACAGAAAGTTCCCACAGTTTGCAGTGAGTGTCAGCACTGAGCTAAAGGGCTGCACCCACTGTGGCAGTGGAAGAAGAAGTAATATTGTACTTTAGAGCAACAACAGGTGCAAGTTCATGATCAGGATGGATACTTAACATTACAAGAATTGCATTCAAAAACTAAAGCAGCTAAATAAGATATGACAAACTCTAAGGTATTTGAATGTCTTACAGGTGCTATAGGCTCATGTTTTTATTGGAAACCTGTCATATGTGATAGGTAATTTAATTGAAGTTGAATATTCTCGATGGAATTGTTGTAATTCAGCCACATTTGGTTCAAACTGTTTAAACAAACTTTTTGTAGCAAGAATAGACTGAAACATTTTTTTTCAGTATCCAGGTAATTATCAAAAATGACATTAGATTAACTCTTTTATTCTGTCAACTCCAGTTTAAGGATCATCATAAGGATTTTATACTGATGCATTACAAGATCTAATGACTATAAAGTATGAGAGCGTCCTTACCTGTGACCCCGACGTAAGGAGCTCAGAGACGAGCGACAAACTTCAGCTCCTTGTGTTTCACCAACAGGTTAAGCATCAAGGATACATAGTCCCACCCTTCACACTCATGTGATTGTAGCACCCTATGGCCACCCAGTTTATTGTTAGACAGTTGGACACACACACACACACACACACACACACA